TTTTTATATTTGAATTTTCATTGGATTTTCACATGCGAGAACAGGGTTTTAAAGTTTGTCAAAAAAATTTTAACTCTTCATTGGGCAAATCATTTAATACAACGTATTTTTATAATAATATTTTTTGCTTTGTCTGTAAGATTGGTATGGGAGATAGGTTAAACGCAAACTCGAAGCAAAAAATATGCGAGAGCGAATTTCTATTTTGATTGAAAATATATTTTTGATCCATATTGTAAAATAGAAGTAAATATCGTTTCTGCAGGATGTTCGAAAAAATAAACTGATACGACTAAAACGAATTAAAAAGTTCAAACTAGTTGTAAGTAGAATTTAGCTCTAAAACCTTGGTTTCCAACCTGTGGAGCGCGGCCATTTAGGAGGGCGCAAACTTGTTGCAAAAACGTTGAAATGATATAAAAATGAATTAATAAATAATTACTTTTATGTATATTTTGATATAACATTTTATATTAATTTGTAGCCTGGTAAATCAATTATAATATCAGCTGTGTATGTACAAAATTAATTTGTTAAAATAGTTAAGAGGGCGCAGTGATGTTTTTTTCAATAAACAGGGAGATGCGCGGTAAGGAAAGTTTGAAAACCACTGCTCTAAGGAAAGGATCATAAACTTTCTGACATGTGTAAATAATCGACGTGATCAATAATAAAGATATAAAATTTAGACAACAAAATTTTATTTAGATTTCTATTTAAAACTAATCAATGCGATTTCCAATGGATATACTATACACGTTATTCTTATAACACTCTAATTAATTTTTATAATTCAACCACTTTTTCAAAAATTGTAATTTATTAGAAAATTTGATAGGATAGCAAACTCTATCACCTACGGAAAATTTTGCACTTCTTTACTGATTCTAAAAAAAAATCATATATTGGTTCGAATACGCATTATTTTGGTAATTGTGGAATCAAGCTATTCATGACTTTGAACCAAATTAGCAATTTGGATTTTTTTAGAAAAATATACCTCTCCTTCGAAGAGTTTGTGAGTTTAAAATTTGGTATTTTCAGATAGTTCAGTCGTTACTGTTAATAATTTTGACGTTATTCAATTTGATTATAAAGAAATGTTAATTTTAACTAACTGAACAAAATTGTTTGTCACATTTTTTATGTAATGCATGTTATGATTTTAAAGGTACTGTTATATATATACTTGTAATTCAAATGTCCCGCCATTATTATTAGTGAGGTTGGTAATGGTGTTTTCTCCCACCACCTCTCTATATATCCGCCATTTTTATGTTTTATGTAAAAATATGTAAAATAAATGCTCTTGCCATGAATATCGCGAAACAAGCAACATTTAAAATAATCTTAGTATATTTAAAGGAAGCATTTTTATTTACCACTAACAATAACTAAAAAATGTAATACGTATATGAATATGCTACACGATTATATGTAGTATAATTCTCTATCATATATATAATAAATAAAAAACGAACATATATTTGCTTAACCATCTACAATATAACAATTTTATTTGATTAAAATCTTCAAAAGCCTAATTTCAATCAATAACAAATAAGCAAAACTTACGTTTTTTTTCAATTCCACAATATTAAATTTAACCTGTGCCAGGGTACGGTAGTGACATCTATTTCTTGTCCCTTTTGGGTGAAATTTAAACAAATTTGGGCAAAAAATCTAACTGAACTAAGACAAAGAAAGAATGCTTTACCATTTGACATCTATTTCTTGTCCCTTTTGGGTGAAATTTGAACAAATTTGTGTGAAGAATCTAGCTGAACTAAGACAAAAAAAGGAAGCTTTACCATTTCATTTATTTTTCATTTACCTAAGTGATAAATTAACAAAATAATTGCTGATCAAAAAAAAAATGACACAACCGTACCCAGCCTCTCCTATTCGATATTTATGGTAATAGGAAGATATCTAAAATTTAAATTGAAACTTGGAAGAAACTAATAAAATATTATAAAATTAATTATTATTATTTTATAATATTTTATTAAATTTTTCCAAGTTTCTATTTAAATTTTAGATATCTTTTCACACACACACACATTTGATTCAGAATGGCTTGAAACGTCGATTTTTTTATAAAAACATAAACTTCTCCTTCAGGAAGATTATTAAATATTCTTTATTATAAAATAACAGTTAAAAAATAATCAAATATTATTCTCAATAACTGATAAAGAAGTTAGAAAGAATATCTTGTAACAATTAGAAAATTGCCTTGAAAATGCCTTTTGAGAAACATAAAATTTTAGATGTGACAGAACGCTGCCAATCACATACGAAATTTTATCTGTAAACGTACAATTCCGCGAACAAAGAGTCAACTAAAACCAACCATTACCAGAATGAAACTTTTCCCGTAAAAACTTTTCCGCGACCCTCGATGATAGGTGTAGTGACCTGCAGTTGAAAACTGGGTCGGCTGCGCCCAACTAGCAATAACGCTAATGCAAAGGAAACTCGAGTCCGACCACCCCATGGACTTCGAGGGCACAGAAAACCTCCCGAAGAGCATAAATATGCTATTCCTTCGGAGGTCTCGTAATACTTGCTATGGAATATGTGTCGTTACCTGACTTTTGCATAAGATATATCTCTACAAAGCACGCGAACGAAACAATGCATTTGCTATTCGGCAAATGCTCTGAATTTTGCATAGGCAGCGACGATATTGCACGCTGAGACTATATGAGAGAAATAAAATAGCAACGAGAATCCAGATGCCATACCTGAGATACAGATATCTTATTGAAAACTCGGAAGGTAGAAAATTTATATGATATATATTGTAGAAATCCCTACAATATATATCATATAAAAGCATTATTAAAAATATTTGAACAAATCTCTACTATATTTGTACAAATATTTTTAATAATGCTTTTACAAAACTGAAATTGACAGTGCATTTTATAAATATAGGTGATACATGGCACTGTACTTTAGAAAATATATATTTTTTTTAATTTATTTGAACAGCGATCAGAACTTATGGGTTCTATGAGCTGTTGTGATGAATCTCTTACAAAACTACGTTTGTTTTTATTATAGATGGCAATCCAAACAGTTGTCTCATCTCTATGTGCTGAATTTTTATTATTACAATTGTTGTAATAATGATGACTCTTTATTAGTGCAGCAATGCCGTATTAGGCCTATTTTCACTTGGAAACATATTGCTATCTATATTTCCAAGTGAAAATCGTTGTCACTGCTGCCTGACAACAGGCTGCTCCAAGTGGGTATCGAACCCGGGACCCCTGATCCAGGTCCAGTTAAAAAAAATATTGATATTGATTTAAATTTCGATTGATTTGAATTCGTGAGAATTATAATTAAAGATATTTTTTTGAAAATGTTTGAAACCGTAGATAATATTCATATTGATTTTAGACTTAAAATGTATCGTTTTTTCCCAGATCTTTTAGATCTTAAACATACTAATCATCCTTACATATGTATATAAATATATAAATAACTAGGTAGCATTTGACCCTAAGGGAAGTTGCATGAACTTCTAGATATGTGTAAATACTTTACTTAATCAATATTTTTTGTATTATACTTTTAATTGCAATCTGTTATACTGAGACATTCAGTGATTGTTTTGATTTTATTATATGATTCTTTGAATGGATGGTAACCCAAAGGTTGTCCAATCCAGTTGTGACTCGTAATTAACTATACTCTAAGTATTTGTTGACAATACATGCAACTATACTCACGAAAGGCAATTTTCTTTTGAGATTATTTTGGAATGGGGAAGAATTTCCTCAAGTGCGAATTTAATATCTAAGTCCAACTTGGCTATGACTGTGATCAAACCAGCAAATACGGGACGAATAAATAAATATGTGTCTAAATGTTTACTTGTATACCTGTTTCAGGAGGGAGTCTGCTTTACAGGCTTAAAAATCAATTTTTTCTTCAAAAATGTTTTCCAAAATTAGCCGAGAATATATCCCTGAAATTTCAGAAACAAATTCAAATTATTTTCGGCATATATACGAGCGGAACGAAAACTTCGACGCACGATTTCTCGGTTTTTAAATTTTTTCGATTCTTCCTAATCGGCGAGAAAGATTAAGGAAAAACTAAACGATCTATCAAAACGAGACTAAATTTAATGTATTCAGGGTTTAATATCTATTCTAGTTGAACCGGAGAAAACTTAAAAAAGCACATCGGCAGAATGCTTGTACCCTGCATATTATGACATAAATTTCAATAAAAATAATTTGAAAAGAATGTTGAAATATATAACAATAAAACCTGCAAGTTTCCTTTTTATTAAATATTATTTTTTTCCAAAACTCTCCCCTTAAGTAACTACCTATCTAAACTACCTGTCTTAGTTGCTCACTTGCCTACTTTTGTATTTGAATAACTACTATCCACTCGTTTACCTGTCCACCTCTCTCAATTTTTATTGTCTTCTTGCCTATTCTATCACTGTCTGCCTATCTGTGATCTGTATTCAACATTTCTACATGTATATAAATCAATGATAAAGATTTTTAATGATTAATGCAGATCACAAACTTTTTTACTATTTTTCCTGCAACTCAGAAACCTCTGAATCCGATTTGCCAGATGCAATAAATAACCGTAAATATTATTAAGATATATCCAGGTTCGATTTCCACTTTGACCAGCTTGATGATATGAGTTTTCTTTTGAAAATAAAGATGGCCATATGTTTCCAAGTAAAAATAGCTTTTTGGGATATTGCTGCGATATCACAATTAGAATGGCGATTGGGGGGTTACTTTCCAATAGCGTGTAAAAGCAGTTAGTTGGGACAACCGGTGGATAGTTTTGAAATCGATTATTTTTATTTCATTACACAGTATGTTATACAAGCAGATTGCGCTTCTCAGTAGGTTAGCTAGATTTATTAATATTTTTCAATTGTTATTTCAGATTAATACCACTATGACCGCACGGCATTGAATTTCCAAGTTTCCTTTGCTCCGGCGACACTGAACTCTCCATAAAATGTCGGACACAAAGGGTGGTGGCAATGCGCCGCCACTGTTCCAGAAGGGAACGGCGGTCGAACCGATGACTCCAGTCGATAAAACGCTGATCGAAGACGAAAAAAAGAGGTGGATAAATAAAAGTTTGATATCCTTGAAAGCAGTGATGTTCTTCTTTTTTGCAGGTGAGGGAAATTTATAGACCACTCGGAATGAAATGTGTTTTTGAGAGTGTACAGCGATTTAAACATTTAAGTTAAAATTTTTGCTTTTATAACTCTTTATAATATTATATAATCTGAACGTGTATATGTAGGTACCTATATATTTTCTAAAATGGAATATAAATGCATGGAATATATTGCTTTCATTACATATGATACTATACAGGGTGTTTCAGAATTCAACGTCAAACCGAAAGGGGATGATAGTATTGATCATAACTACCTTAAAAAATTAAAGAAAAAAATATTCATGTAGTTCGAAAATTATGAGCTTTTAAGTGCAATCTAATTGGCACAACACTGTCATTTTTTTGGTAATTCTAGTTATTTTTAAATACTTTTGTTCATTTAAGCTTTGAAACAGTAAACTGGCTCGAGTTTTCTTCAATTAAGAATACTTGTTGAACTGTTAATTACATCAAAAGTTCGCATAAGAAAAAAACGTTATTTTTAGTTTTTTACATTTTTTTTACTCAAAATTTTTTTATTACAACTTTATCAAGTAAAATATACCATTTTACAATCCTGATTCAAAGCTTTAACTGTTGATAAAACTTGCCAATACACTTTAGTACATTTTTTTAAAGAAGGGCCTCTCAAAGTCGACCAATTTTAACAACTTTGAATTTATAGTTCAACAAAAAATCTTAGTTCTTGAAAACTGTAGAGCAATTGGGTCATTATTTTTGACTGTGGTCCTAAAAAATTTATTTACGATCTCAAGTCTGAATCAACAAAATTAATCAAAATAATCGCCAAATGTACACAATTTCAGTAAAGCTCTACGTTGGGCTTAGCTCATAATTTCCAAACAACGCGGGACAATTTTTATAAGTTTTTTAGGACAGTAATGATCAATACAATCATCCCGTTTTGGCTTAGCATTAAGTTCTGGAACACCCTATATAGTGTAATATAATAACAAATAAAATGAACTTATAAACAACATAGCGTAGAAGTGTAGAGACTGCAAGTTATTAAAATTTTAATATACTTTATGTGCATATATACTTGTAATCCTAATTTTATATGTGTGTGTATGTAATATTGAACCAAACTATTTTGAACGAACTTGTTAATTTTCACGATTTTCTTGCTCAAACCCGTTCGGTAAATATTATCTTTTGCTTGATCATTCAATGAAAACTCAATATCATTAAATCGGCCATAACGCATATATTGATACATTTTAAATCATGCAATTCTGATAATTTACAACGAAATCTTTCTTCAAATGATAAGTTTATTTAATTTCTAATATTCTGATGATTATTATCTGTCCAAATTTATCAAAACCAAGCAAGAAACCTAATTGTTTTAAGTATTCCAAAAATTTCACATTTAATGTGGTAACACATTTTACTACAAAATGACATTCTAAATCTAAGAATTTCTTATATTTCTTTATATTTCACCTGATAATTTTTTTAGTTATTCGCTACAGTTTTATCTGGAAATTGTTTCACCTAGAACTGAATATTTCTATATAATTACGTCCTGAATTGGCCGGAACAGTCCCGATTTTGTGCCTTGCGTCCGGGTTTTTCTAAGCGCAATATTTATCCCGGTTTTAGGTGTTTTGTCCCGAATTGTCCCGCATTTTTAAAAATTTTTTGATTGCTAATATTTTTTTAAATATATTTTAACTAGAAAATTTGAACCGAAAAAATGTGCGGATAAGTTTTCAGCTCACCACACTTCTCCCCCCACCGCTCTCACCCACATTCTAATCCGTCACGCATTTTATGCAAAATATGGTCACCTTAATATAATTCACCTAGCACTAATAGATCTTAATATAATTGCATTAAAGTTATATATTTTATTCCATTGTAGTTGCTAACAATAATTAAAAATGAGCATTGCATGTGCAATATACCAAATAAATTCAGTTCACTAAAAAGTCCAGTGTAAATGTGACAAAATGTTATTCAAACAAATGCTCTCTCATACGTTGCCACCTTCACTTGAATTGCAATTATCTTTCTATTACCTTACAATATTTAACATATTTTTTTTATAGGTCTGGGATGCATTGTGCCATTTTTGCCTTTGCATATGCCAGCCATTGGCCTGACGATGACAGAAACCAAAATTATAACAGTGACGGCCGCTTTCATTTCCGCTTTGGGGCCACTTATAGCTGGTCCATTGGCAGATAGATTGGCCGCGAGAAGGGGCACCAATGGAGGAGGAAAGCATTTGAGAACTATGGCAGCTATTGCCATGATCTTGGCAGCCCTATTTTATTGCCTGCTGTTGGCTGTGCCATCGGTAAATAGGATAGAGGTGCGTAAAAATTTAATGGTATAAAAAATAATATCTAATGATATTATTTAAGAAACATTTAGAAGTAAACGTTCAGAATAAATTCTTTTTTCATGACGAAGAATTTAATAATTCTCTTTTGTACGAACTTTGTAGAACTATCTATGTGTAAAAAATCCAATCCATTCCAAATAACAGTTTTTTAACAGCATTTTTAGAAGAGTAAAAATGCCATTGAAACGGTAAGAAACGATATGTATAGGTATCAATATGCAAAAACACTAGATTAAAAAATATTAATTGAATAGATAATGATAATCATGAAATAAGCAAGAAGTTAAATTTATCAAACCTATAAAATGCATTTTTGCAAATGATCTAAGGAAAACATAAGTATTTTCCTAACAATATATCTGAAATTAAATTAAATTTGTCGTATTTTTATCAAGAGTTTGAAATCTTATTCTTTGCGAAATATATTACTACGGGCTTATATTTATATTCTTTATGTCTGTCGGTATAAGAGGATTATAAAGTATGGCTCAAATTTGATTGCATTATAAGAAATTGGAAATTGATTTGCAATAAGAAAACATATTTTTCCAGTTTTGGATGAAAAATTCAATGTGTTGAATATTTAATTATAAAGAATAAGTAGTCTTATATTAATTTACTGCATAACTAATAATTATAAATAAAAATAAATCATAGCAAAGCATTAAAGCATTAAGTACAAGATCATTCTGCTTCAATCACACATTTTTATGGAGAAAAAAAGATTTCTAGATACAGTGAAAAAAGGTAAAAATTTCTCTATCTTCATATGATATGTAAAACGTTAGTTCATAGAACAAATGGGCAGCCGAAATAAATATGACCAAATATAGTCAAATATAATGAATAAAGCAATAAATATAGATATAATTACACATTTTTTCAAATTAAATAATGGATCATTTATAAGCTTGGTTTAGGTTATAAAATAATTTCTTGACACGAACAGGAAATTGATAATAATTATTATGTTGAGGGTTGCAAATATGAGAATTTTCGAACTTAATATATATTTATTTATATACATAAATATATATAGTCTACATTTATATATACAACAACTTTTATATTTAAAAGAAATATGTTTTTATAGGCAAGAAGACCTTCGGTTAGATTCAATTGTGATCAAAATGGAGCAGTCATATTGCAAGAGAGATGCACCGAAGAAAAGACATGTTATCATTGGAAAAATGATAAGGTAAATTTACAAAAAATAAATAAAATTTTCAAAACTTTTCAAAAATGATTCTCAAAAATTTCAAAAGAATCATAATGACAAAATAAATCAAAGTATTTTCTATTTCTTAGAGTTTTTTTGTCCCTAATTAATTTTCCGAAGAAAGGTTGGATTTTGCCAAAATTGGAATTTAATGAGGGCCCTTTAAATCAAACTTTCATTTTCTATGGTGGCAATGTTAAAAGTGCCTGAATCTCAATTTACATTGAAACATTTGCCCTAAGGCAAAATGTCACTTACATCTAGTTATCACTGTATTTCCAAAGAACTGAAGTATATCGAATAACAAGTGATTAGAACTTCAACTTTTCGTTTAATGCTTGATCATAAATCTTTTATCATAAAACTCTTTTCGGGGCTTTATGTTGTACTTTGAATATGAATAAAACACTTTTATGTTAAAATAAAATTTGATATCCTAAAGTAATTTCATGCAAACTTTATGACATAATATATTACTGAAAGTTTCGTGAACAAACTATTCAGAAAAACTATGCTAATGCAAATATAAAAGTTTTATGAAACAATACGTGATTCAACAAACTAATATATTTTATATGGCTTTCTAGGAAATATAAAGTGCACATAAAATGTAATTTGTTATTAAAGTGAAACTTCTGAATAGCAATAAAAAATTTAAAGAACGATAAAATACAACAGCAAAAATTTTTGTTCTATAAAGAACTATTTTCGATAGTAAATTACTTTTCAAAGAAAATGTTATGTATTTTTGACATATATTTTGTTAGTTGTGTCATGACATATGTTGTTAATTTAAAGTTAGTATAAAATGCATAATAAGGGTTATAAGTAATATATTCAAAATGGTAGTTTTAGTTTTCGTAGCTTCAAAAAATCAATTTTTTTAAGAGCTTTTAGGGAAGTAAATAAATAATTAATTGCAACAAAACTTTAAAGTTTTATTGTTATATATTTCAACATTTTTCTCAAATTTTTGAAGTACATTTTTGTGCATCTAAAGCATGCTTCCCCCTTAATAAATCTTAATAAGAAAATACGTGTTAACTATTTGCATTTGTTAAAATTTAAAAAATTCTGTTAAAATTGACAAAAATAGGAAAATTACAGAAGAATAAAATGAAAAAACCTTATATGAACATTGATAAAGATTAATGGTTATTAATGTAATGTAATCAATATTTTTCAGGAATAACCACAATACAAAGCACAATTATTTTTACTTACTAAATCAATGTTTGATGAATATATCTTGGACAAATAATATTAGTAATTTTGTAAATAGTATTTACAAAATTTTATGATAGAGTAATGTACCCATTTTTTATATTTCTACAGCTATCAGAACCTTATGCCCTATAAGCTGCTGGGCTGAAACTTCTTATGTCATATTGTTACATTAGCAACTGCTCGATACCAGGATTGTTTGTGACGGACGAACATATTTACCACTAACCACTCCGCCAAAATTTATTTAATATTTTTTAATATTCTGTTAAATATTTTTCTTTTAGATGGGATCACTATTGCTATCAAATTGTCGCTACGCATGCGACAGGGCCGATAGCCGACCCCGTTCAGTGGCGCCCTTGGTACAAAATGCTCCTCAAAGCAAATCAGTGGCGCCGTCCAACAGTCAGGGATCATCTTCAGCAGAATACGATGCGGATTACTATGACGAGACCGAAGAGGACAATGTCGGCACAGAGGTGGAAACGGTGAGTTAATTATTGATATTCACTAAATCAAAAACACCTTATTGAATATCTGAATTACTGATTGTGAATGCACTTCAAAAATCATGTCATTTTTTCGGTTTTTATTTTTATGCTTGAATTTTTTTTTGTTATGAAACTAATAGGTTAGTATTTTAGTATATCACGATCCTGATTAAGTGCTCCAACTTAATCAATGAACTCGCTAATACACTTTAGTGTATTTTTTTAAAGGAGATTTTCTAAAACACGACCAATGTTGTAACTTTGATTATATAATTTAACAAAAAGTTTTATTTCTTGAAAACCACGGTTCTAGGATGTTAATAACGGACGATGAACCAAAGTTCAATCGGACAAAAATAATAAAAATTAACTACAATAACCAAAACATGGTCGCAAATTGACCTAAGCACTGTGTGTCATTTGAAAGCTCATAATTTCCAAACGTGAGATAATATTATTTCGATTTTTTATGATAGTTACGATCAATATTGTCACCTCGTTCTAGGACACACTGTATAACTATATAGGACCGACTATAATCCATCCAAATGTTACAATCTTTAAATTCCAAGATAAAGGGATAAAGGATCACTATTAGATTAAGTAATCTACATATATTTCAAAGCACAAACAATAAACAAATAATTTTTATCCATATCATACAGACTGGTTTACTTTAGTTAGACTATGAAGGTTATACTTAATCTCAACGTTTTTTTATTCTATTTAAAGAGACGAAGACGGAGGCAGAGCAACAGATATCCTCATCCAGAACCACCTCATTTATGCCAAGCTCGGGATGAAGATTCAGCCAAATCATCAAGAAGTACCTGCCAAGTTTTTACCAGAGACACGAAACAACTTAAAGTGCAGGTGAGAAACTACCTATATAATACCTCACATTGTCCAATTGACAGATTTCGAAATTTGAAAAACACAACTTTGAGCAACTTCAATTTACTTATTGAATCTGGAAATACTTAACTCTGAAACAACTAAGGGGTTACGGTTACTGCACTTAGGATTATACCACTTCGATGACCGAAAATCGAAGTTGGAAGCCAACTTTTTAATTTAATCAGGATCATGTACAATATCTATTTATATATGCTATACGGGAGTCAGATAAAACTAAGTCGAAAAACTTTGTTTTTTTACTAAACCCAAAAATTCGCTCTCTCCAGCTATTATTGACTTCTAATCAACATCTCATATCTTAAGAAAATGTTGAAGAAATTATTTTCTAAGTCTCAAACTAATAACTAAATACATTTAATTAAAAGACATTTTCATCTTTTTCAAGAAATTAAAACATGCCAGTTTATAAATCGTGTCAATTCACCTAATTATATTGCACAAGATTTACTTGGAATTCTTTAATTTTTTATGAATTTGAAGATTGCAAATATATAACATGTTAAATAAATACTGCGCAGTCATTTTTACTTTAAGAAGAAAAACTAATAAATTAGTTTGGCAAATAATCAGACTGAAGAAATGATAGATAATTAGATAACAAAATCAAAATATGAATCTCTAAAATATCATCTAACTGCATTAGATAATTCTAAAAAAGTACGGAATACTAATATTGAAATAAAAAAATGGCATTAAGCTATAATATTAAGTAAATATTTTCATTTTAGGTGACTTTGCATGGTGCAACGAATAAAGAAGAAAAAAGCGATGAAACAACGGACACCATGGCCGTGGGTGATGAAAAAGACCATGCCGAAGAATGGTGCAGATATCCAGTCGGTAACTAAATTTTTAAATCTAATGAATTCATGTCAAAATTCATTAATACCAATTTTATAAATTTTATTAGAATTATTATTTATTAATAATATAAGTCCGAAGACAGAGAAAGTTCAAATTTGTTTGTAAGAAACTAATTCCTTTTCGTAGCTTCAAACAATAGAACAAATTCCGTATTGATTATTTATATTTTTCTAATACAGGTGATTATTTCCGTTGTCGCATACCGCCAAAGAATAGGCTTATGGCATCAAATCCAGAAATATTTACATATGGCAATGCCACCCACAAAGACGATTGCTCTAATCTCATTGTTGAATGTTCGGTGGACGATCCATATGAAGCTGAAGGCAGCGTCATGGCCGATAGTCAGTGCATGCACGTTTTTGGAGATCCTGACTTAACCTTCTGGCTTTACCTTGTTTTGAGGTAATAAAATGAACTAGTCCAACAATAAATCTAAACGACTAGCATCACTATAGCTTTGACCAAATAATGATATCATAACTTATTGGTTTCATCGTTCTCTTATCATAGATGCATAGCTGATTGTTGTCCATTAGCAGCAGTAGCCCTTTTAGGAGCAGCAGCAGTCATTGCCACTCGTGAGACCTCTGAAGGACGTGGTGATGTAGGAAGACAATTGGCTTGGGGTGCCTTGGGTTGGGGTGCAATGGTTCCTCTCTTCGGTTGGATTCAGCAAGATGTACTACCAAAAGATACACTGCCATTTGTTCTACCAATAGCTGTACATGCTGGATTTGTATTGATTGCAGCTCTGATACTGATTTGTGCCAAGTAATAATTGATTATCATCTTTCTTGTTTATTATTATTTAATGAATATGAAATTAATTGAACAAACGATGCTGTATTTATAAGAGTATACAATTTTTGCAAAAGGATGAACTAAGGTGACCATACGACTCGGATTGGCCGGGACAGTCCCGATTTTCCGCCTTGCGTCCCGGCTTTTTCTAAAAGAAATATTTGTGGCGGTTGTAAGTGGTTTTGTGCCGGATTATCCCGGATTACCGAAAAAATGCGCATATAAGTTCTTAGCTCACCAACACCCCCTCCCCCCGCTCTCACACCCATTCTAATCCGTCCCGGATTTTATGCAAAAAAATATGGTCACCTTAGATGAACTTCATGTTCCAAGTTCAATTTTAAATTGTTCTGAATATTGAAAAATAAGCGATATTTGAATAACAAATCTTGTTAATTAAGAAATATGTTAATATCAGTTTTATATTTTCAGTGGTATGCCCTTATCGCCCCCTGAATGGTGGTGGCACACAAAATCAGGAATGTTGGCAGTTCCAATGTCTGCAGTGCGCAAGTACGGACCAGAAACTTCAGCTTTATGCCTCGTTTTGGTGCTTTTGGGAACTGCTTGGTCTGCTTTGGATACATATCAACCATGGTAAATACGAAAAATGAATCAGAACAATTATTATAACTAGCCTCATCATTACAAACAATCATTATTACAAAAACATATATAGCTAACACTACTAACTCTATAAATAGACCCTCAAGTTTTAATTAAACCATCTGTTATGATCCTGATGCTCCATCCAATTATAATCCAAAAATTGAAGGATTTGTTTTAATTTATTGTATTATCATTTTAGGCACCTGGAATCATTACAAGCACCATATTTGTTACAAGGATTGGCCCTAACAGTTGGCGCTATTCCATCAATTCCTCTCCTGTGGTTTGCAGAACCATTGGCTGATCATTGTGGACATGCAAACTTATTGATGACCGCATTTGCAGTTCATGCTTTGAGATATTTGGGCCTTTCAGCGATTGAAGTAAGTTTTTGAAATATAAATTCTATACATAGCTATATGTATTTAATTATAAACAAGATTAATACATACCATATTTACATGCAGGTAATTTGTACGCATATAATTTTTTACCCAAATTTTTCACAAGAATATTAACCAGAATATCAATAGAAAAATAATTATTACTTTGTTTATAAAATAGCTAAAATTTTTAAACGGCAATGTATATATTCACACAAAAGCTCGTTTACATGCAATATAGGTGGCACATTGCGTGAAATTCAACAGGCCTATTGTTTAATTTAACAGGTTCATAAAATATTTATTACCTTGCTTTTTATTATGAACTAATTATAGAATCTGGTATCACCATACGTGTTTGTAATTATTATAGTTAAACATGAAAAAGCATACATTTGATCTTCAATCTTTAAAAAAGACATCAATAAGACAACCGTATTACGTACCTTCATTGTTTTTGTCTTTCTTGTCATAGGTGTACTGAGAAATTAAAATTAACATTGAATCCAAAAAATAGGAATTGGTTAACAGCCTTTTAACATAATACGCCATAATATTAAAGCTTCTACACCGGATTAAGCTGATTTTTTGACAATTTAGATAGTCGTGAAGCAGCGGTAAAGTATCAGCCATGCAACCACAAGGATTTGTGTTCAAGTCCCATGTTGAGTGTAACTTGATATCAATAACCATTTTCACTTACATAAATTTGGTAGCAAACATTTTCATGTTCAGTAAAACTTACATATTGAACTGAAGAAACTGTCCTACAACCGTATTACATATCTCCATTGCTTTCCTCCAAGTTTTTGAAAGCAATGTTTGAGATGGAACAATCAAATTATATTCTATCAGTCAGTTAACGATATTTATTAGGTATAAGAGTAACGAAATAGCAACAAGATCCCGTTCGTTCATAAAAATACAAATAAATATAGTATCATTGAATATCTACTGTATTATTTTTTCGTATAATATTTGACTATGGCTTAAAGAAGTCAATTATCTAAAATGTTTACTATTTTCATTGTTTCTAGGACACTCCACCATGGACAGCTTTAGCCTTAGAAGCTTTAGAACCACTGTCTCTAGGTCTGGCTTGGGCCGTTGCGATGATGTACATGCGCCATCTCGTACCGAGAAGGTTGACTACGACTGGACAAGCGTTACCAGTGGCGGCGCACTTCGCTTTGGGTACGTTATAAAACCATTTACTTATAAAATCTTTGTAAAAAAAGACATTAAAGTCTTGGTTAAAATATAAACTAGCTGTAAGTGGAATTCTGTCTTAAGGCAATTAAGGCATCGTGCCTTAAGGCAAATTGCTGGAACTTCCCGTACCAAAAATTATTATTTTTTTAAAAACGATTAACATTTTTGAAAAAAAAAATTACTTTGAAAAAAATAAGACTTTTGAGAAACTATAAATTGGACAAAAAATTACTTTTTTTAAAAAAAAAATTTTTTTTTTAATTTTTTTTTTTTGAAAAATTTTTTTTTTTATTTTGACATATTGTGGAAGATCTGAACTTTCTTTTCAAAGCAATCAATCGTACTGCTTTAACTGCATAGGGACAAAATATAAAGTGCGTAAGCGCCGCGTCGCTGTCTAAAGCATAAGCATTGGTACGGAACCCATAGGAATGTTAACAAATTGTATACTTATTGTTAAAATCTCTATAAAATATCTGATAATTTTATGAGCATATGTCTAATGATCATTTTTGACCGCCAAATGGCTCATTTTTTTACTTTTTCCTCCATATCTCCGAATCCGCTAGACCTACCTTCATGAAAATTTTATCGATTCTTCATCTTGTCAATACAAGTGAAAGTTTTTTGAATTATTCAAATCGGACGCTCCGTTCTCTCAAAAACTGAGCTACCGTTTTCGGCACTTTTTGCCCCGTATCTTTGGAACGGCTAGACCTGCCTTTGCCAAAAACTAATCAGCACGTCTCCTTATCAATACGAATCGAATGTTTTTTGAATTATTCAAATCGGTTGACCCGTGTTCCCGAAATCGTCGACGAAAATTTGTATCCGCACATACATACACACACATACATACATACACACACACACACAACACACACACACACACACACACACACATACATCCATTTTTTCTAAGGTATGCCAAAATGTTCAGAAACCTCTGAAACGTAAAGATATATAAACATTTTCATTTTCGATTTTTTTTGCGATTACTATAACTTGCCCTACGGGAAGTTAATTATAACAAACATAAATAAAAATCTTCAGTTTTAATTTCAACGTTTTGGTATTATTGCTACCTTCATCTAGGGTCATTAGCTGATTACCATTGTCAATATTGGCCCATTGCAGAATAGTAACTTAATAACTGTAACATATAACTGTACTTAGATCATATTAATTTGGTTCAGGCCAGAAAACCAATTTGAACCCCACAATGCACATTGTGCACAAATACATCCGTAACAAAAAGATTTTTTAATATGTTCGAGCAGACCATATAAATTGTTAATAATATCTAATTTTAATTTCCAGGACGTGGATTTGGCGCTCTGATCGGTGCCTTAGTAATTCAAGGCAAATTCATCCCTCGGACATTGGAATCGATGAGAACCATGTACTGCGCCATGGCGGTCGCCTGCTGCGTAGTGGCAGCCTTATATTTCGTTCTGTATCATTTCCTTCTTGCGCCAAAATGCGCAGCAAGGGCACAGGCACCGCCTTCGCCTGAAGTTATGCGGGGTAAGTTTATACCAAGATTAAACATTCTATATGTTTATACAATTGTTGTCTATGATAAAATAAAAAACTCTAAGTCCTTTAATTTCAAGTTCCTAAAATATATTTATATTTTAGCCAGGAAATCCAGTTTGTTAATTTTGTTTTGTCGACATTTCAAGTCATTCTGAATAGCTTGAGACCAATTTTGTAAAAAAAAAATATGTTTGTCTGAGAGTGTGAGCCGATTTTTCTATCTTTCGTCGATATTTTCTCAAAAACGGCAGCTCCGATTTCAACCACTTAAAAGCTATTCGATGAAATTTGATAAGAAAGAACCTTAATTAAGTTTGCCAGACGATCAGCCAAGCAATAATGAGAAACAACAAAGATGTGCAAAATATTTAGACCAAGTTTCCGCAAAAAAATCCTGAACCGATTTTGAAAAACCGTTCGGCTGCTATCATTTCGGAATTAGTAGAATATTTTCTTACAACGATATTTTCAGATTTTTCTGTTTTAAATCAATCAAAACATCTTTGTTATTGTCTTTTAGTGCCTACATAGCCATGAATATATTGAATGAAAAATCTACGTATTTTTTGTCGTACAAGATCTGCAATTGATTTTTCAATCCAATAAATATTTTAACAATTTATTTAAAAAAGGATTATTTTTTCAATTGTCCAAATTTTGTATGGTACCGAAATAAGCGTGTGGGTAACTAAGCCTCGGTAGCGCAGTAGGCAGCGCGTAAGTCTCATAATCTTAAGGTCGTGAGTTCGATCCTCACCCGGGGCAATTTTTTTTTTACTATTTACCGAACTGTAGCTGAAAATTCTATCGAATATCTATCTATCATTAGATTATTATCATATATATTTAAGTACAATTCAATTTTAATAATATATAATTCAATAACAAATATTAATTATACGGTACCAGTAAGAAAGACTGGGCATGGTAGTGCCACTTTTTTTTCGCAAGCAATAATTTTATTAATTTACCAGTTTGCTGGGAGAAGATTAAGAGTAAATTAAATGCTAATTTGAACTTTTGTCTACGTGGAAATACTAAAGTGTCACAATTTCCTTTCCTTACCCTTTCTCTTTCGTATTTTATTTTAGTTAAGTTAGATTTTTCTTTATCCGTGTCATCATCATCCGAAATGGGCAAAAAATACATGTCACAACATAAACACAAGCAAAACTAATTGCTGGTAATTAATTACTAATGTTCAACTTACTGCATAATAACAAACAGAATGATCTATCTATTATTAAAAAAAAAACGACCAAAAATCTTACTTTCGACTCTTTAAAAGCAATGCGGTTTACAGCTCATGTTAAAGCAGGGGGCGCCGACTCAATGCTTATTGCAAACTTGTTCGAACAAACATACGTCATCTTTCTCCTTATGGTTCCTATCTCAAAATTAGTACAGTTTAGGTGTTATGACCACTGTCACTACCGTACCCAGTCTCTCCTACTCGATCCGAATATCTCTGGCATGCGAATGAGGCAAGTTGCCAATACAGTCAATTCCACCGCAACTTTTCTTGCACATTTGAAAGAAAATTTAGAAATGTGGTACATATGGATATCTTGACATAAATATGTTTCTTCTAAGTTCATTCTACCAAGCAACAATAGTAAATCAATAGAAACTAGTCGAAAGTGGTATTTTGCCTTAAGGCAAGTTGCACGAACTTCGCAGATTTAAAATAGAATTGAGATTTAGTTATTTAGATAAAATTTTCAACTGTACGAGTACATATATCATGTACTCAGATATTATTAACTTCCCGTAGGGTAGTTATAGTAATGAGCCAAAAATCGAAAACAAAAATTTTGGCATTTCTCGACGTTTTGAAGGTTTCTGAACATTTTGGCATACCTCAAAAATATGAATGTGTTTGTGTGCGTGTGTGTTTTGTGTGTCTGCATTTTTTCGTTCACGTTTTCGGGCGCAGGGATCAACCGATTTGAATGGTTCAAAAAACATTCGATTGCTATTGATAGGGAGATGTGCTGATTAGTTTTTGACAAAGTCAGGACCAGCCGTTACGGAATTAAAAAGCAAAGAGTGCAGAAAATAGAGTTTTTGAGAGAACCGAGCATCCGATTTGAATGGTCTGAAAAACATTCAATTAGTAATGATTAGGAGAAATAGCTGTTAGTTTTTGGCAAAGGCAACCCAGTCATTTCGAAGATACAGAGCTAAATATACAAAAAATAGCAGTTTTTGAGAGAAATAAGTATCTGAATTGAATGATTCAAAAAACTTTCTGTTTGTGTTGATAAAACAATTGCTTTTGGAAAAAAATATTTTCAATTAATTTTTTTTTTTGTATATTTTTTTGTATATAATTCAGATTTTAATTTATATACTAACTTTCAATTTATATATTAACTTATATACTTTAAATAAATATTTTTGACTTTCTGATTCAGTTTATGTAATTGTTATAAATATTATGCAATGTACAGTATTTATAATAATCTATTTGAAAACATTTAATATTCCTCGAACATTTCGTTACGGTACGGGAAGTTCCAGCAATTTGCCTTAAGGCACGATGCCATACACCCCACTAGTTTAATGATCTGAATTAATGTTAACATTTTTTACACAACTAGAGATGTTTTGTAGACTGCTCACTTTTTATTTTACTAATTCCAAAGCCATTTCTAATTTCTGATGAATTGGCCAATTTTCTCGCTAATTTAATCGCGGCTCCTCCTTATCGAATTGCAACATTTGATACAAATTTCGACTACCATATTTTTTCAAACTTTGATTAATTTTTAAAATTAAACGACTAGTCGTAGGGCCGTAATAATATTTTAATATTTTCTTTAGGACTGTGAATCATCATAAAAAGTTTCATCAAAAAAATTTTAACAGTTAATTGGGAAGAAACGGCTTTGCTGATTTCTGTCCAGAACTAATCAGCACGATTTCCAAATAATATCTTTCGAATAGTTTTGAAATTTTAAAATCGATTCAGAATGTTTTGGCTAAAACGTGAATATTTTTTTCACTTTCTGCTTTCTGCCAATTATAAAAAAGGCTTGGCTGATTGTCATGCAAAACTGACAAACACTAATCATTATTGAGTTACATCGAATCGTTTTTATTTTTTTTAATTCGGTCTAGTCATTATTGAGCAAACATCGACAAATAGTCAAAAAACACACACACATACTTTATCCAACTTTGGCCTCATTCGATTCAGAATGGCTTGAAGCGTCGAGAAAACAAAATTAGCAAATCGGATTTTTGGACGAAAACATAAACAACTACTTCGGGAAGTTAATAAATCTTCAATATTGAATATTAGGTCAATACAACAAATGTAAACACCATCAATCTTTATTTTCATTCCAGCTATGAACATCTCCGGAAGCGGAAACGGAGCCGGAAATTACACACCGCTCCGGGTGTACCACAACGGAAGGGGAAGAAAGGGCCATTTTAGATATTAAGTAATAATAAACGCACGATAAATATTTAATATTTATGAAATACCTACACAGCGCACCAAACCACTGCGATACAACATAATGTGTTCGAAATATTACAGTATTTAATAATCCATGACAGGTGATAAAAATAATATCATTTATAATAATAATATCCAGAAGCAGAATCCACAAAATTAAAAAAAATATCTGTGGTGGGTGTGCGACATATGTTTTCCAAAGTATTTTTGATGTCTGAACTCGAACCTAAAGTCAAAATTGGGAATTGAACTGTAAAAAACGAGGAAAAAATAAAAAAAAACGACAAAATCTTCAACTAGAAATTTTTCTACATGATAATTAAAATCTTATAATTTCTGTAGTTTTCTTGCACTTTTTTTCCTTAAATGGCATGTGAAAAGGATTTCTGTAACACCTTATATCTGTTGAGTATCTTTTGTAGCTTTCAGCAATAATTTGCGAACATATTTACTCCTCATTGCAATTTACTGCTGGAATTATAATAATCTGCAATCATCTGAAATTTTTATTCCAAACTAGCAAACCGGGCGAACTCCGTTTCACCACCAGATGGTTTCATTTTATGTAACATTTCGTTTGGTGATTAAAAGATAAAGAAAAAAATTGCCTGCTGTTGAAATTGAATAAAAATTTGCACAATGCACGTGATTGATTTGATGGTTTCCAATTCAAATGTTAGGAAATGAATAACTTAATTTTTTACATTTTTTGCACAATTTCACAGTGAACACAATGCCGGTTTGTCACATGAAATTAACTGAGCAGAGAACAATGAGTAGCTGTCAAACAAAAAATATTAGTTTTTAGTACATGCTGAGTATCAGAGAAGACGCTGTATGTGAAAAAAGAAGAAGTGTTTTACACTTTTCTGTTGAAATTTTTCTTCAATTTTCTTTGCTATAAACCTCACGGGGCCCGAGACCTTTCCAGCGAATGCAAAATCGTCAAAATCGGTTCGTGCGTTCTGGAGTTATATCGTCAGGAAGGAAAACCCGACTTATTTTTATATAATAGATTACTGCTGGAAAGTACAAAAAGATACTCAAAATATATGAAAGAAACGTTGCAGAAACGACAAAAATTATAAGATTTTAATTATCATGTAGCAAAAATTTCTAGATTGGAGATTTTGTCTTTTTTTCAGTTTTTTACAGTTTAACTCCAAATTTTGGAAATTCGAGTTTAGCAGTAAAAAATACATTAGAAAACATTTATCGCACACTCAATACAGACAACTTTTTTATTTTGTAAACCTATATAATCATTTGGATATATTTTTACATCCAACTCGTAATAATTATATCAAATGAATTAAAATATGCAAATACATAAGAATAATTTAAAAAAAGAAACATCTGAAGTACTCTCGTAGATAAATTCTATAACATTTTTTAGTATTTATTATATGATAGATAATATTATTTTTAGTATTGATCTTAAAATGTACAACCGTGAAAATTTAATCGAAAATATGCTAAATGGCATTACCAAATCAGATTTTAAATATCCAATTTTAGTTTTGTAGTTCAGCATTCGTGTAGGCTGCCAAAATTCTAAAAATGTAGTTACTTTAAAGGATTCTCTTATTTTTTTTAAATACTTTTTTCCATAACTTTCAAGATAAAACGAATTTTCTAACCCGCACTGCCACAGCGATTTAACACGTTAACCGCCACGTTATATGATGTGTCAGATGCTAGGTTCTACATGAACTATGTCAGACATATGTGTCTGACACACACGATTTGGTAAAAGGAAAAAAGTTTTGATAAAAGGGCTATAGTAGTCATATATATGACATTAAAAAATATTATTTGTACAAGGATTTAAAATTGTCTTTGATACAGTAAGTTTTCTTGATACAATTTGAACTAAATTATCTAATAAAGTTACCCATGTGAATTTTTTCTGGTATTATCGTGGCAATTAATGTGTTAAAGATATTAGAAATTATATTTCTAGTGCATAGTTTTTACCAAAATTTTGAAAAAACCAATAAAATCTTATTTCAACTGTACAAAGAATTATCGTGGTGATTAACGTGTTAAAGATATTAGAAATTATATTTCTAGTGCATAGTTTTTAACAAAATTTTGAAAAAAAACAATAAAATCTTATTTCAATTGTACGGAAGAACTCGTAGTTTGCGTCCGAGAAAAGCTCGTTAACTAACAAGAGTTGGCAGTGAACGTGTTAAGGGTGCTGGTAAAAAATTTTGATTGTTGTAAAACTGTGTTCAATTTACTATATTAAGGGTTAAAAATATAAAAATTTCAAAAGTTGAATAAACTTATGGTTGTAACATTTTTCTTGTAATGAAACCTAACACAGGATTTAAAAAAAAATACAAAGATTTTTCTTCAATAGTTCAATTCAACGGACTATTTAAGTTTAATCACATTAAATGTTAAGCAAATACCAATATTAATTAAAATATGAATCAAGTACTACTAAATCTCTTTGCAAAAGCTATTTTAAAAAAATAGCTTTACTAGTCTATGTTGAAATATTTTCGCAGTGAACAGGGCGCATCGCTTTGAAAAGCTTTATATATTTCAATCAGTGTAAAACATTTATTTATTTACGCTTAATGTTTACTTGTAAATGTCACAAAATCTACCTTTACTGTAATTAGAATATGTGTATAATAATATAGCATATGAATTTTGCACAATATTTATTAAAATTGCATAAATATCGACGCCTCAAGAACAAAGATACCAGAAAACATTACTCTTAACAAACAAAGAATACTGTTGAGTACATTTATGTAAAAAATAACTAAAATTTTATTTACTATTGTATTGTATTCAATTTTTTTTATTTTTTATCGGAAACGAACCAAATTTTGAAATATAATGTTGATTCTATTTAAATAATATAGTTATGTTCTGGCATTAATAAATGTACCTTTTAACACTTACGGGACGGCACCGATTTCAAAACAATCTACTGTACCGGCTGTAAACTTGATTTCATTGTGTATGTTATGCAATTTGTTTGATAAAAATTTGTGGTCATTGAGGGACATACATTTATAATATTAATTTATTTTTGATTATTTTATAAAGAATGATGACGTTCAAAACAATTTGTCTGTATGAATGTCTATTTTAAACTCATCTTCAATACTGTACTATTGTAAATAGTAACAAAATTTGCCAGTCGTTTTGCCATATGTAAAAGCGCTCGGTCGTTTTAAATATTTAAAAAAAGACTATATAGCAAAGAAAAAGGTTAAAAATACTACTAAAATAACTTGAAATTATTTTCAAAATACAACACTGTTTATCGCTGCTATATGTAACTTATTCAACTTTTCGATGCAAACTGAGTCATCGTTTATAAAATAGCCTGTGCCTCACAGAGTATGTTTGTCCACTCAGGTGGACAGCCGTCCCCAAAGAGTTGTTGATTCTATTTAAACAATATAGTTATGTACTGACATTAATAAATGTTCCTTTTAAATTTTATTAAACTTTTATTAGAATTAAGACCCTATCAAAGGATCACAAGTTTCGCCGAATTTCAAGTCTAATATATTATAAAAAAATTACTTATATCCGAGTATCGATATTTTTGCAAATAATGTCAATTACCCGATTAGAATTAAAATAGAAATGCATATGCAGGCATCTTTGCCATATCAATTAAGTTACCATATATGTTAACCGTCAATGTGTGACTTCATAAAATACTCTTTAAATATTATTATAAGATAGAATATTGTATAGAGCTAAGCTTTTTAAATAAAAATGAATATATTTATTTATATACTTGCGTGATTTTATAATCTATAATGTATTTAATGAATTTAAATAAAACCTAAGGTTTTCTGAATAGTTTTTAAGCATTTATAAATATAATGATTTATTTAGAAACATTCATAAATTATGTGGTGTTATAATCATTAACATGATTTTGCATTAATCCTGAATCAAAATTATACTATTTAATTGCATAATTATGCTTTCATCATTTATTAGTTATCATGAATGTGTTATACAATTTTTAGTTATAATTAACCAAATATTTGTATTACCTTTTCTAAAAAATATTTCATTTCATAAATTGAGGTCCAAAAACCCATTGAGCTTAGCGTTAATATAACCTGCCTTGCGATGTAGAAAATACTGAATATTTTTATAAATAAATATATTAACTATCCATGGGTAAAAATATTAACTACATTTCAATACCACTGCCATTGCAAACCAATTTCTGTATGCAAAATAAAATTAAAAAGTAGTGAAAAGTGCAGATCTTTAATATTGCTTAGCAGAGAAATGTAAAATTAAAAATTACTAATTGATATATATATATATATATATATATATATATATCAATATGATTCAATAAAACCATCAATTGATCAATTAAGTTGCAAATATAGTTCTTTTTGTATTGACAAAATTGCATAAATAAAAAAATATCTTTTTATGCTATGAATGAAAAATATATTATATATTAATTATTAATAATGAATATGTAATCGTACCAAATATTTCACATAAATTAACTTCTCAAGAGCTATGTTCATAAAAACTATAGGTGGAAAATAACATTTTAGCTATATTATGGCACATGAAAATTGCGTACAATAAATATTGTTCATAAATAGCTGTTTAAGACGTTGTTTGTTTTTAATAAAAAATATGTGAAAACCCCACAAGAATTTTTTTTATTTAATATATTAAAAATGTATTTTTTTGCTTGACAAAAAAAATATGCAAAAAAAATAATATATTGAATATTTTTACAGTATGTTTATAGACGCACCAAGATTAGTCATACCTGGTTATTATGCCACTTCATCATAAGCTTATAATATAAGTTTACAGTAAAAAATATCAGAAAAAGTAAACTAATATTTCCATTAAAAAATTCAAGTAGATTTTTATAAAATAGGGGAGACTGGGTCCTGGCTACGGTAAGGGAGAGGTTCAGTGTTAGTCTGGTGATGATTTGCTGGGGGCATTGTTGGTGACATTGTGAAAATTGATGGACAAAAAAGTCTACCACAACATAACACGTAGGCAACTTAATTGGTTAATCGGCTGGAAATCACAAGTCACAATAGAAAATAAACTCCTAATATACAAGACAATTATTAAACCAATATGGTCCTACGGCCTACAACTATGGGGTGCGGCCAGTAATTCAAACATAACTATTATACAAAGGTTCCAAAATAAAATTTTGAAAGAAATCGTGAACGCTCCAAAATACGTTCCCAATTGGTTGATACATCAAGATCTCAGAATTGGAACAATAGAAGAAGAAATTAGTCTTTACTGCTCCAGATACAAAACTCGTCTTAGTCGTCATCCAAACGAATTAGCGTTAGATCTGCTCAAGCTTTTACCACCAAAGCGTCTCAAAAAGCAATCTGCAATGATTTACTACAAAATATCACATAACATCTAAGAAGGTGCTATCGCAGGATAGCGATCCTTCTCACGCAGTCAAATAATATATACCTGTAATAATATATAGCTGAATGTTCTTTGTATAGTTTGCTATGAAAAATAAATAAAAAAAAATTTCAACGGCACTTGAGAAACCCCTTTTCCCACTTCCATGTGAGAAAAGAATTGTGGGTCGCGGATTGGTTTTCCAGTAAGATAATGATCCTTAGCACACTTCTAAATTCCTTCTCACAATCAGTCGAAAAGAAGCAGAAAGAACTCAAATATATGGATTGAGTTGGACAGACAAGAGAGAAAATTGCAACCAACTAATATGAAACAGGTTTGGACGTTCCTACTGAATCGCTGGAATGAAATAACGACGGAACTATTGCATAAATTGATTGAAAGGATGCCCAGAATATACGCTGCTGTTTTACGAGCAAAAGGCAGATATTTAGAAAATATCCATCTGGTGTCCGTGGAATATTCTTTTCAGTAAAAACCGTCATGTTGTACTAGGTTTTAAATTTAATAAACTCAAATTTTTTCAGCGTGCACAATTACACGTTATATTTGTCCCAGTAATGTCCATAAGCCCCTTCACTTATAATTAGGTTCGAGTATTCATAAAAAAAATATTGTTTAGATTGAATCGCAATGAAGAAAAATAATTATAATCGATATCGATTAAAACCGACGTTTACAGAAAAGATTCTTAAGAAAACGATGTGAAAAAAATGGGGCAAATCAGTATAAAAGTTATAAACATTTCTGAGCAGTCTCTTGGGCCGGAGCCCCCTTGGGCCAGAGGCCCGTGTAATTTTGCCAGCCCGGCCGCACTATAGTAACTGATATACAACATACAAACATACATATACATACACGCACATTGACTAGAATGAGTACTGTTAAATTTCTACGGCTATTGTACGTATTTCTAATTTCACAATCACCGATAACTCCGATAATTGTACAACAATGTCGAGAAAGGGATCTTCTTATGATCATCTGTCAGTTATGCAACGCATGTATATGATAATATAATAATTTATCGTCTGCAAAATCGTTATCATTTTGTGTACAAATGCATAAAAACAAACCCTATGGTATTTCTTGAAATTTAGAATTATGGATAAAAGATTTAAAAAACTTACCTTAACTCAAGTCATTTTAAATTTGACACTTATGCAAGACATGTAATGGCCATCCTTCTTGTCAGTGACACACAACTAATTGCAACCGGCATTATTTTCTATAAGGCATGGTAATATCACTTTTATTATCAAAAACACAAACTTTTATTAACACTTAACTGAATGTATATCCACTATTGATAAATACTAAAAATTAATTACATATGTAACTTCGTCACAAACCACGATTAAAAACAACTTGGTCCAACTGGCAGCACATGAGTCACAATATTAACACTCTTGTCAAAATACCACTTTACCATATTCTTAAATTTGCAACAACCTTACGAATGCTTGTACAATGTTTCTTTTAATAATATTATGTTAAATTATGCTTGAACTAACTTAAAAACGGTTTAACAATTAACAACGTATTTTTGCATAACCTTTATCATTACTGAACAATCATCTTCAGCGTTCTGCCGGGTACCGCTTTGCCATGTTAGCCAACATTGACAATCGAAAAATTACATGGTTCTCAACCTTCTAGACAAAATTAGAATTAAATATGTTCATGGTTCTCAATCTTGACGTTGAATATCATTTCTCGTATCAAATTATACATACGATTTTTTATTTTGATATAAAAAAATGCATTTTAGCCGTTTTCTTTATATAAAATTTACAATAAAGTTTTATAATTTTGAGTCTACTTAGCACTTTTCTAAATATCAATTTTTTGGAATCAGCTTCCAAATAAAACGTGATAAAAAATCAAAGATGGGTAAATATATTACTAAAAGAAATTTTAAATGCCACAAAGAATGTACCTAATTGATGAATACATAAAGACAACGGACATGAACACAATAAACGTTACGAACATATTCAGACAATTACAAAAGCCACCTCGAGGATCATCCAAACCCACTTGCTAGAGAACTATGCTACAACACTATCAAAGTAATATTAAAAAAGAAATTCATGTTACATTAACATAAGCTAATTCTCAAAATATCTGACGTTGGTACAAGATTTTGTATTTTTAAAGTTTTTTTTCTTTAATCATACAGTTATACTTATTGTTCATTTAAGGACAGGTGTAAAACTGATTATATGAAATAAAATTAAAATGCATTCTCAGTCAACTAAGTAAACTTACAATAGGCAATTTTTAACTCCCCGAAGAAGAAGTTTATGTTTAATCTATCTCTTCCATGATTTTATTGTTATTCGTTATTCAACTTCAGTTAGTTATACATTATGTTAAATATATTATGCATTTTATTGATTTCATTCTGAATTAATCAAAGTTTTAGAAGCATTTGTTAATCAAAATGTTTGTGAGAACTGCTAGTTCTCCTGAATAATTTAGAAATATTTCATTAAATGTTTGATAACAAAATACTTCTACTTAATTTATTTGTTATCTTACAATCACTTATTTTGTTTTGCTTTGCGAATACAGCTCATTATTTTTTTTATCATAAATGAATGACAAGACTTGAAATTAAAAATTAAATGTACTTTAGTTACAACGTATTTAGTATTTTAAAAATATTCTTTGTCTTAAAGATATCTATTTGAAATTTGAAATAAATTGTTTGAAAGTCCACAAATGAGAGTCAAATTCGATACTGAGTAGGTATTTTGTTAGACGTTACTGACTTCACCAGATTTATTAATGATTTACTCTATATAATGATTAATTCTAAAAAGTACTGAGATGATTTTGAACAACATTAATTTATAAGATCCTTAAACAATTAAATATTGCTACATATCAGACGTTATATATATATAATATTTTTAGTGAAAATATTAAAAATGAATTTGAACGACTATAATATAATGAAAGGCAAGTGTTAATAATTGCATAATCTCTATATTCTTCATATATATATTTATATATACACACATACATTAATATGCACGGTAATATGCACAAATATTTCAGGAAATATGCCTGCATGTTGGCATATATCGTAGAATATAATTTATTAACTCTATATTTTAGAATAAAGCATTTTCTGTTATTCTCTGTTTATAACTATCTTCATAAACCTCTAATAAATTTATTTTACTAGCGTGTTTAGTACTTTTATCAATTATCTCTCAACTAAAATATACAAACTAAGTCAACAAACAAGAAAATTAAGGAAAATCACAATGCCAGCTATAATAAACATAATTTACAAGACAAATGAAAACAATACTAGGCATTTATTATTAGAAAGCTAGATTGAATACTTTAATGAGGAGTTATTATAAAATTAATTAGTTTTAGAAAATTAAATAAACTATATACAAATTACAATGATACAAACAAGACTTGTGTTACATATTTTTTAAATTCAAACATTGACATGATCACAGACCTCCAGTCCCGAGTGCATCACTGGTCATTAAAAAATTTTGAGATAAAATATAACATTAAAATCGAAATATTGTTGCCAAACATATTTGATGAATTTAAGGTATATATCATCACGGTTTTTTGTACAGCAGCAAATCTAATGTTATAAAATATGTTTTTATTTTAAAACTACTAATTGTTAATTTGCTAAATAAAATTCGATATACTAATAAAATCAATTATCTCCACTAATATGTCTAGCAACAAAACCAGTCCACTAAACTAAAATTAACTCTGCCACTCTTGTACACTATCAAAGATTTTTAAATAAATACTACATACAAATGAAAATTAAAAACAACCTCAATATATCAAATTAAGGTAACTAGTACCTTAGTAATTGTACAACAAATTGTACCAATTCATCAGTCCATCTTTTATCCTGTATAATGTAACAAATCACTTATTGTTTTAATGAAACTGCTATATGATTTTGATTTATATCTTTAGTGAGACCACACAGAAAATTTCTCAGGCGATACGAAAATGTCCACAACATTCTGCCGAATTAGCAATGATGTTAATCAGCTGTCGCAACCTACAAGAATAAATAATCACGATATTAAAATTTTTATAAGGTAAAATCATAATTATAAAAGTAAATCGTTTGGCATAGTGGATACTGTATATGTATAAAACAATAAACATTTAATTCATCATTAAAACCGAGTAAAGGTTAATCAAAGAATTTCGTTGCTACTTAACGTCTATTCTCTTGGTCGCATGGCAAACAATAATTATACTATTTAATTTTTATACAAAATAAAATTTGTAAAATGTAAAGGAACTTTAGGCACGAGTATTCGTTAAGCCAAATGCAAAAAAAAATATCGCCCAACGTGGGGCTCGAACCCACGACCCTGAGATTAAGAGTCTCATGCTCTACCGACTGAGCTAGCCGGGCTTACAGCAAACATTGATTATGGCCAGGTGTCGTTTTCAACCGAAGATAAAGCGACAGGGATACAAATGTATGAAACATCTCACATTTACTACAAGAAATTATAATTTGTCTTTTTTTATTTAAAACCAGATATGTAAATGTTTTGACAAATGGTGATAAAAGTTCGCAGTTCATTCAAAAATATAATATAAAAATTAAAAGATAAATATACGGAGTAAAAGTTTCCAACAGTAGTTTCTGAAGTTTTGTGTTTTGTACCAGGGTCCTCCAATTTTTTAAATAAAATTTGTTCTACTCCCTTAACTTTACTTATAATCAAATTTGATAAATACTCAAATGATAATATAATTCATAACGAATTACCAAATAAATTTTGCAAACGTAAAATACGTTTCAAAGGATTCTGAACATTTTGGCATACCAAAAAAAAATGGATGTGTGTGTGTGTATGTGTAATGTTTTTGATACAATTTTTCGTCCACGATTTCGGGCGCACAAATCAACCGATTTGAATTGTTAAAAACACATTCGATTTCTATTGATATGAAGACGTGCTGATTAATTAGTGGTGAAAACGGGTTTAGCCGTTTCGAAGTTGGCAAAAAGTGCCAACAACTGTAATTCGGTTTTTGAGAAAAAAGGGTACTCGATTTGGATGATTCAGAAAACATTTTAAATAAATAATTGATAAAATTTTTGGTAAGGCAGGTCTAGCGGTTTCGGAGATATATAGGAAAAAGTAAAAAAAAATTTTTGATGGTCAAAATGAACATTAGACGTATGCACATCAAATTATCAGACATCTGATGAAGTTTTTAAAAATGAGTATTAATTTTTTTGTTACAATTTTGTTGGGTTCCGTACCAAGATTTTTAATTTTTAAAGTATACTTATACGGTTCAAGCAAATATCAAAAATTTAAGAAAAAAAAATTCAAAATTTTTAAAACTATACAAAGTTTTATACTTTACATTTCAGTTTCAAAATCTATATATTTCAAATGCGTTATTCCAAACGTAATAAATATATCCCTCAGATGGATTCATTCATTCACCTCCTGCTAATGTAAACTTTCTCAAGTGCTTTGAGCGATAAGATCCTCACTGTATTTTTGAACGATAAAATATATAATGATTATAATTATCTATTTGAAAATTTATAAAACAATTATTGTAAATCATTGATCAATTTTATTGATTACTAATTTTTTTCGTCGAATATATAATTCTGGTACGGAAAGTTCCAGCAATTTGCCTTAAGCACGATGCCACTAGTTTTATATTTAATCAGTGAATCATTATTCATTCCTTCATATGCATTTATTCCCATTTTCAAACCATTTGATAAGGATTTTTAATCTATTTATTATTGATATATGTTGAAAATATAATGTTTGAGAAATTTTCGTTCAGGTATAATAAAACTCTTGAGAACAAATACTTAACACAAATTTTATTCATCAAAAACATTTTGAGGATTATGGGGGCAATTTTCGGGACAACTTAATTATGCTATGTTACAGGTCTCTTTTGGTAAATACCATCTTGAGTAATATCATTGGTAGTAAATAACTTTCAAAAAGCTATGTCTGTGCTGTTCGATCGAACCTTTTACACTATTCTATTTTTAATACCTAACCTCCAAATGGCACAAATGTTAAATAACAATATTATCATAATCAATCAATATTTGTGTTGCTCCTGATAACACACGCGTGAAGTCGAACAAAGGTATTCTCTGACGTTTGTGCCATTTGAGGGTTACAGTTTTAAAAGTAGACTTAGTGTAGAACGATCAATCGAACAGCCAAAATATAGCTTTTTATACAATAAAAGAGACATATAACGTAACATAATTATTTTATCCAAGAATTGGCTCCTTAGTATATTCTCTACATAAAATCTGAAGTAAGTAAGGGATTATAAATGATAAGAGGATCAATTACAGGTTTCATTTCCTCCGAGCCCAAACTATTGCATACAGAGCAAAACTGTCAATTGTAACTGTTATTAGTCAATATTTGTCAGTTTGTGATAGTTTGGACTCAGAGAGAAAGAACCTACAACGTATTCATATGATATCATCACGAATATTCATTGATAATAATAATAATAATAATGGGTGTACTGCCCTAGGGCAGGTCCATGAGCTGACTTAAAATTCCAACTCGATTCAGGGAAGAAGTAGTGTGAGAGTTTTTCCCATTTCCATTTCACACCGCAGTGCCCGAGATGGGCTTATTTTCAATTGGAAACGTATTTTGATCTATATTTTCACTTGAAAATAGTCATCGCGCTGCCCGATGACAGATTGCCAGAGCGGGTAATCGAACGCGCGACCTTGTCCATACAAAGTCACGCGTTAACGACCTTCGCCACGACGAACCCTCATTATTAACTATTGCGAACTATTACGAACACTAAAATAAATGTATGTACTAAATCGCCTGATAAAACATGATGGTTGTAAATCTACTACCTACCCATCAGCCTGCTACTATGCAGAAGTCGGACAATCATCACTGTTCGATCTTTCATTAGAAACGACATCATCTCCCGAAGCAGGATGGTGTCCATCCAAGGTGGCATTGATGCACGTCAGAGAAGCGGTTGTCGACGACGTTCCTGACTTTGATTCGAACACACTCCATCACCAACGGCAGCATGTGTGTCGTTGCTGGTGGTGGCCGCGCTACTATTGTTGGGCGTTGAATTGGCGTCTTCTGATAGTCGTAGGGCGAGTTCTAAGTCGCGCAGCACTTCGGTTTCTTTGGCTTCAATTAGACTGAATCGCCTGGAGAAAGGAAATAGATAAATGAAAAAAATATTGACAATAAAAACGGTAGGAAATTAAATATATAAAGATAATTAACTTCAACTTCATTATTAGAAAAAGCTATCGTTCCTAATTATACACTTTTTCATTATCGA